TGCTAAAATCTTGAAATAAATATCTGGGTCTCACAGTCCTAGAGAAAAGCATGGAAATAGGAGGTCAGGAATTAGAAGGGTTATAGGCAAGGTGGAGTCCCTCGACCTGGCATAGCTGAGTATCCCTTTTATTCTTCTCTTGTGCCTCCCTCCAACTTTGCCAAAAGCAAATTAAAATTCTGCAAAACCCAGTGAGATTATACATTATAAGTAACTTTGCAAAACACTTTCTTGCTGTCCATAATTTATCCTGAGTGGTGCATTTGTGTTTCCCTGGCGCAGACTTTGGATTCCTTGGCCTGGATTTTGGATACTTTTTTGGGCTGGGAGTACATACAGCTCTGGCACAAGAGACCATGGCTTTGTTAGATTTTCAAGACCTTGTCTGTTTGTGGTTATTGAAAGCGCCGGTGGCAGTTCTGCTTCAGAAATGTGTGTGTGGATCTGTTAACCGGCGATGCTTGCCAGACGTCAGATTTGAAAACTCAGAACCTGCCGCCTGGACTCCCTTTAGAGTCTATGCTGGGTGTTATGTCCTTTGGCTTTTGATCGTTTCATACTTTGAGATCAGCCTGATCAAAGGTACGCTACCAGTTTCACCACCCCAGGGAAGAGAAAAGCCATTTCTTTCTAGTGGCTGGCTGCTAGCTGCCTTGCTGTTTTTCTTTTGGAGCCATTTTGTTCCTCTCTCTTTTTAGCAGCTAAAAAGAGATTAGTTACTCTTGGAGTTTCTTCTTGTCAGCAGGTGAAGGGGGAGACCATAATAAAACAATTCTGGGGGTGCAGCATTTAGATCCCACATCAAAATCGCAAACTGCTTTTTTAAAGGTAAGGAATGTAGAAAATCGCTGTATATCAAGACTTCTGATCTTTCCAGCTCAGTAAACTTTCTACAATGAGGGTGTTAAACATCTTTCAGTCCAAGGGTCAAATTTGGTTTTGGAGAATCTCTTGGAGAAAGACCAAAAATCATCAAATGTAAACATATTTAGTTTAAAGCTCTCATTGCTTGCATCTAAGCTTTAGAAGAGGCATTTCAGAGTTTTAGAGTGGGGGAAAACTGCAAAAACCAAGGAACCATAAAATAATTGATGGTCAGGAAAAAGAGAATAGAGTCAGGAAGGGGGTATGGTCACCTGCGAATCCCAGAGGGTTTGACTGAATCCCAGGCAGGCTGGCTTTGGCCCCTGTGATAGAGGTTCCTTACTCCTTCCACAGCGGCGGGGGCTCTCCAGGGTCTCGAACCAAGAGGGGCTTTCCTATCATCTGCAAGCTGGTCATTTGAACTGAACCTGTGACCTGAACCAGTCACTGGCTCCCAGCCTCTCCTACCTCGCAGTGTCGTGAGGATAAAATGGAGAGCAGATGGATTCTGTAAGCCATTTTTCCTTGCAGGAAAATGCAGTTGCTTCATTTATTTAATAGATTTGCATCTTGCTTTTCTTCTTACAAAGAACTCAAAGCAGCGTACCTCGTTCTGCATTTCTTCCTCTCCATCTTATCCTCATAAACAACAGCCCTGTGAGGTAGGTTGCATGGCTGGCCCAAAGCCACCCAGTTGGCTCCATAGCTGAGTAGGGACTAGCACTCAGATCGCTTGAGTCCCCCTCCTGCATTCTTAACCGCTACACAACATTGCATCTTTACCCCTGAGCTGCAGACAGCCCATTTAAACGGGGGAAACTGCAGTTTCCTTAAACCACAGTTGACTTTAGATGGAACAATAAACTATGGTTTGATGTTATATTTGAGTTAATGTGTTCCATGTTTTTCAAAGGTTGCATGATATTTAGTGAAGTGGGGGCAGGAAGAGTATTTTCAACATCCCAATTTTATTACAGAATACTGTAATGGACATACTAATGTTTTATTTCATTGTGAAGATAATAAAGAAGCTTTTAGAGATAGTGCAGAAGGCTTGGTTTTTATTGGACTGTAAATTAAAGCAAACAATCACATAAAAATGAAATGAAAGCTATTATAGTATTTACTTTTTTGTTCCCTCTCCTAGTAACGTTTGAACCTAAAAGTAGTCTAAAAAATAAACGTGCACCCAAACGTTCCAGTCTACCAATTCAAATCCCTCCCGCACAACACTTAATTAACTAAAGCACTACTTGATTAAATTACCAATTAAAGTTTGCTGCCCTGAGTTACAAACAGAAATGCTCGCTCCCTTTCTTGCCTTTGCATACGACTGAAGGGTTGAAGGCAGGTCAAGCACCACCAAGCCGCGGTGTTTCCCTTTCGGATACAATGCGAAAGGCACATCAGAAAGGCTGTTTTCCATAAGACGGGATGCGTTCCAGCTGTTGTTGATAACTGCAGGGCAGAACAAGTTGATTAAAAACGGCTTGAATGTACATTTTTCAAAGGAATGGCTCCTGGCAGAAACCCAAAAGTGGCTGATGAGAAAGTGGGGAGGGAAGGATGCAGTCACAAGCATTGAAACACACCCAGTGCTGAGCACAGGTGGCCCATCCCGCAATTCTGGAGCCATCTTGCGGGAGCTGCGAGCCAAGACTCGCGCCCGTCTTCAGAACTGGGGACGTCAGAGCAGAGAGCAGAGACAAGAAGGGCTGTTGTTACATTGACAACATCCCAGTGTACACAAGACGACGTGGCGGTTCTTCCCTTTCATGCACACCAGTGGGCGGACTGGGCATCCTTGGCTCTTCCAGAGCTTCCACAGCGCCAGGTTCCTCAGTGCAGGGGAACCTCTCCTGCCTTTCGAGGACCAAACTTGGCGAATTGCTTGGGGCCACATCATAGTGGTGGAATGCTCAGAAGACTGGGCTTGAATGAGAGGAGTGAATACTTGAGGCTGAGTCAGGCAAGAGGCAACAGCTACGGGAGACTGGCTGTACTGGCTGAAACCTCATGGTCGATGTTGTCACTTTTTCCCTGCTGAGCGAATTCTGGGCTGCCATTTTCCAAGGAAGACTCAGCCAAAAGCAAGCCGACTGGCTGCTTGGAGGCTTGGAGGCTGGCTCAGAGCGGTGGTGACCAACTTTGGCTCCCAAGAAGTCGTTGGATTACAACTGCCATCACCCCCCTGAAGGCTGGGAGTGCCTGGTGTTGCAGGTGAACATATCCGAGTTGAGAAACCCTAGATTTAAAAAGCAAGTCAGGAATAGTCTGTACAGTTGAAGCAGTTCGTGTGTTAAGGCTAGGTTCAAATTCCCAGACAGTCCAGAAGCTTTTCCTTGGGTGGCTTTCTCGGACTAACCTTTGCAGGGTTGTGCTGAAGCTGAAGTGGTTGGGCAGCTCCATGAATGCCATCCTGAGATTTTAGAGGAAGGAATAAGTTAAAAATATATTCAAAGATACCCGGGCCTCCAACTCAGCATAGATTCTCCTTGACAAATGCTGCAGACAAATGTCAGTCGTAATTGTCACACCTTTCTCAGGAGCTTTCCAGAGGCACATAACTCCCCTGTTGAAATCGGACTGATAGTCCTTTGGTCGGATCCAGCAAGGCAGTTCTTAGCATTCTTATGCTGCTGTGCTCTTTCTGTATTACTGCTTCTTTCCTCTTAGCACAGGGGTGGGGAATAGGTGGCCCTCCAGATGCGGTTGGATTACAGTTCTCATCCTATCTGGCCATACTGATGGGAACTGGAGTCCTGGAGTCCTGAGGGCGGCTATGTCCCCACCATTTTCTTCATCTCATTGCAAGTTCCTGTATGGCATTCATGTCCCCAGATGTGTTGCCCGCATTGTCTTGTTCAAACATCTGTGGGCTCAAGCGCGTCTGATCAAAATGAAAAGGCAAAAAGCAACAATTTGTTTCCGTTGAAACATACATACACAACCCGTCACTTTCCAGGGCCATGGTGGATTGTGCCCATGCAGTTTTCATTGAAGTAGCGAAAACATCTGTGGAACAGGGATGGGCCCATTTGCTGAGCTCAGCAGGAGGGAAGCCTGTGGTTGCCTTGGGTTTGCCTCTTGCAGGTCCTTTTTTAATTTTAAAAAGAACAAAACTTGGCTGTCAGAGTGTTTGGGCAGGCTAAACAGATGCAAAGTGCGTGGGGAGCATTTCCAAGGGAGAATGAAGCATTCGGCAAGGTATTTTTTCTGAAAGAAAGCGAGAAGGTGAATTTAGACAAGCACACTACTCCAACTGTAAACTCATATTGGTGCCCAACTCAAAAAAAGGAATGCACTGGAACTGTTTGTGTGACACACTTGTGAGGTGGGTTTGATTGAGACATTGTGACTGGCTCAGAGTCTCCTGGTGTGCTTCAGTGCTGAGCGGGGATTTGAACCCGGGCCAGAGTGAATAGGTTGCGTTCATCCCTGCAGCTCAATGCTTTCACCTCATTTAGCATCCCAGGTGTGGCAAGGTAGGTGTATGTTGAACACTAATGAAGAGGATGTGATACTAACAGATCTCCCTTAACAGTCCACAAAGTTTCGCATTGAGAAACACTCTGCCTTTTATCATGGAGGTTCCACTTAATAGCTGCTGTTTTTGCGGACACCATGCCGCCACTGCGGACGAGTGCCAGAAATCTAGCTTGCTGAAGCTTAAGAAAAGGGCTTTGGCACTCAGGACATGCGCTTTGCATCCACGCCAGGGCCTTCCCCTAAGGTGTGTCCACAGTGGATTCGTTCATGTGCAGGGGACCTTCATAAGCCTATGTTCACTGGATTTCCCATTGCTGATAGCAGAGAACAAAAAATATTTCATCCCTATGTTGTCACAGAAAGACCTTGGAAATCTGACACAATGTGAATATACATTGGGGCGCACTGACAGCCTGCCAGACAGCCTAGCCCGTCATGGGTATGGTACTCCCGGATGTAGCACATGTGAACTGTAGCACTTTAAGGAATGTAAAGGATATTCATGGGGACTAAGAAACCTCTGTTAATTAAAACAGGTTTGCTGTAATTTTATATTTTACCAGTGTGTAGAGCTTATCACAGATTCTACCATAAACATCCCACTGGGGCCTAGCTTCTTTTGATCTTTCCATTCTTTCCCTCTTCAGATCCCTTATGTTCTTCTGAATGCCTCTGCATCAGAAATAAGGCCAAGACTGTACCCTGTGTTTTTTGGAGAAAGCATAGAGGTCAACCCTGAACCAGCACAAGAAATTAGGTAACATGTGGATTCCCTTTTGTTCTTCCTCTCTCCTGCAAAAGATTAGTGGTGTTTATGAATGGGTTGATGGGTGTTTTAGTCAGAGTTATGGGTGGTGGTAGGGTGAAAAGGACGGCTGAAATGAAAAAGATTCAGTAAGAAAACCTAATAGGGGAAGGGGGAAGATGAAGGGGTTGCTGCTTTGGTTTCACATCAGATTCATCTCGGACATGAAGCAGAAAATTATTGCCATCTGGGGAACTGCCTGAAATAAAAGGAGTTGATGGGCTTATCTCAACTCCCAGCGGGTATAAAAATCATGGGAAAAGCCTGTTGTTAGACATTCATTTGCTTGCCATGGCAACCTGGCATCTGTAGCTTGGTGGACCACTGAGTTACGGGTTGGTGTGAGTGGGAGGTTTGGCCTTTGAAATTTACCCAACTCCTCCTGATTTCTGCCAAGCCATGAATCCACCCCCCCCCCCACTTCCAAAAGCAGGAACTAAGAGAGATATTACAAACTGTCACCGGTCAGGTTCTCTCCATCCTTTGTAATTAGCATGTTCCCCTGTTCCTGAATCTCCTTTGGTTCAACGGCGTTAGACTAGCAGCCTTCAATACAAGTTTGTAAGAAGATTCAAAGATTCTTCAAAGGGAAGAATACAGTGGGGTATTTATGCCCTCGCTGATTTCTTGTCAGCTCCTACCACTCATGTAAGGACGATTTAGCCTGTCCAGGTCAATGCTTATTTCTGGAAGGGGGCTGGTTGGCAGCACTTGGTAAGGAAATTCTGCAGAGCTGCCTCCTTCCAGAAATGGGTTTCTGCTCACTTGGGGGATTCCATTCTGGATGTCTGGAGCCCATTAGCTGACTGTCACGTGGCTGGATGTACCAAAACTTGCCTAAAGACAAGGGCTTAAAGTGACATTCTTGCTAGGGCAAAACTTCCAAAGTTTATTCTAAAAGCCTCCAAGATAACTCAAAACATCGCTCATTTGGGATTCTGCTCATCCCTAGTTTGAAGTTGCGTGGCACAGCCCCAGTGATAATCCAGCGGCCACCTCCAGGCCGAATGGTGCTGCCAAAACATGCGCACACGCTTTTTAAAGAGCAGCCTGAGAAATCTGGAAGGAGGTTGGCGACCGCTGGCAAGCATGTTTTTCCAGTTGCTGTCAAGAGCTCCCCTTCGCTCAACCAAACCGTTCCTTGGCCTCTGAAGCTAGCTGTGCAAAACCCATTAAGCAGATCGCGTTACAGGCGCTGCAGGCCTCTTCCAGGGCGTTGGCAAATGCCACATGCCACACCCAGCGTATAATCTTTTTATACACAGAGCTGCAAATTCCCCAGCAGCTGCTGATGGTGCCTCCAAGAACTGGAAGGAACGAACCGTGCAAAACCCTTACGGCAACACGGAGATGCTGCGCCCGCCCTGCTCACGATTGCTTGGAAGACATGGCTGTTTTTCACCGGCGATAAAGGCTGCTGCTTCAAAATGGGTGTACTCAGAAGTAGTGTGTGTCTGAACAGACAAGAGGATATCTAGGTCTCTGTTTGTGACATCAGCGCCAGTTTTGAAAACGTTTGCAAGGGTTGTAGGCGAGGAAAGAAATATTTTATTTGATTCTGCTTTACTGTCAAACCATCCTGAGACCTCGGTAGTGGACGATATTAAAAAGTTTTAAATGAATAAATAAATATCGACGCTCAGAGCAAACCCACACACTACTGGTCTCCTCCAAATGAGATGCATTTTACAAAAGAGTTTCTTTGTCATCTGTGTCCCATCAAAATATCAAGGGTGCATGGACACATGTGATTCATGGCTGCCCCTCAGCTGCAGAACTTCCACTGGAGACATCTCAATGATTTACAATTTTCTGGCATTCTTGGAATCAGAATAGTCCAGAATATCTGGAAATGTATGTTTGCGTAGCTTCTTTTTCAGGTGTTGCTGGGCAGGTGTGTGGGACAATTTAAATGGGCTCATATTTGGGAGGGGACATTGTATCTTGTTGGTTTCCCTGGATTGCACCTTGGGAGTGTTGGACTTCTCTTACATTTATACCTTGCCCACAGGGCAAGGAGGTCATGGCTGAGCGGTGGTGATGGACACAGGTTTCAACTGGGTTTTTGAAAGGTGTTTTATATGGGATAGGATGACCAGTGGCTACTGGTGGTGATGGTTTAAAGCAACCTCCAAGTTCAGAGACAGTGACTGAATGTGGACAACATGATCACCCACATTGTGAATTGTTGTTGAAATATAGGTTATTGTATTGTCTGGATAACAAATACAGTGAGCGACCCATAGCAACCAGAAACCATGGTTTTCCTTTGTGGGTTGTTCCTGGTTAGTCAGTGTTCCTGGGTTCAGACAACATGATAACCCATCTTTCCACAACAACCCGTGGTGCAGTTACAATCAGCACTCAACCCATCTTTCACCCTTGAGTGCGGGTTATTGTGTTGTCCGAACCTAGCTAGCATGTCTCACAGAGTGAGCTGCTAAGAAACAACCGTGGGAGAAGGCCAGTGCTTCGTGTCCTATAACTTCCCGGTGATGTCTGGGGAACCAAATGGTGCACTTCAGCTTTTATCAGATTCAGCAGGGCTCTTCCTGTGTTCTTGTAAATGACTTCTGGCTGTGTGGTTGCTTCCGTTGTTATTTTAGGTGCAACTCCGAGATAAAATACGGTTCTGAGAGGCATTACAGGGACGACGTTTTCTACTGCCCGATGCCCACCATCACCACGTACCGAGAGACCGTCATTGCTGCTCCCAATTGCACTTGGCGGAATTACAAGTCCCAGCTCATCTTTGAGCCTCGCCAGAAGCCCCTGAGATTCCAGAGCACGACCATCATCTTCCCTAAACACGCCAGGAACATTTACCGAACGACCCTCAACTGCAGCCTGGGTTCTGCCAAGAAGTGGTTTGCTTCGAGTGTGCAGCTGGAGCTCTGTGAGGAAAACAGCCCGTGCATCGTCTACACAGAGACCCTTTAATGCAAAAGTTTGCCTGCTGGAGAACTCTTGACTGAGGGCATCCATTCCGTGGCACCAGCGTCCTTAGTTTTAACACCCAGTCTTGGAGGTGCACAATCCAAGTGTTCTGCCTGCTCGGAGAAGCAGCCGAGGGAGATACTCTCAAGTGTGAAATGGCTAGAACTCGGTTCTGATACCTCTCAGCCTTGGATTCAACCTGTTTAATTAGCACTTAAACGCAATCTTAATACTTGTTTGCCTTAAAAAAAACAGTGCTGCTTTTATAGGATTGGGGGAGTTCCACATTAGCATGTGGATTGCTGCTGAACATTACCTTGGAGAAGACTATTAATGTGGAAGAAGACACTCTCCAGTTTGGGAACTTAGCTTGCAAAGACCAGGTAGATGGTGGCAGGCAGTTTTTAGCCATATTTAACATTAATTCTGAAAGCTTAACTAGAATCCCAGTTCAGTGATTGTAATGTGCTTGGCATGGTTAACTCTTAGATGCTGCCATTGAAATGAACGGAAAGGCCAGTGGCACCTTTTTTGCAGTGGGTGAGGAGTTGCAGGATCAAGCCAGAAGCCAAGGTGTTTACAGCGCCTGGTGATTAACTGCAAAGGAAGCCAAGAAGACGATTCCTTTGGCAATGGCCGCCTTCTGCAGTGGATGCAATATTTGGAAAGGTTTAGTATAATGTTTGGGAAAGAGTTTACATATGAACTCATTCCTTCAGAAGGCTCAATTTTTTGACAATCAAATTGTAAAATAGTAGCTTTTTATAAGACAGTGTATGGGACCAAAGGCCTTTTTTTACTTTCTGTGATAAAGGACGATAAAACTCAGGCCATGGTTCCCCAGTTATGAAGCATGGCACTCTGGGGGTATGAAACAGAAAGCTGCATTTGCTCACAATTGCAGATCGCAGGCCTAGTATAGGATAACACGTGACTGGAGAAAAAGGAAGGGAAGGAGCTTGGAAATGGTGGTTGACTTGTGTAAGCTGCCGTGTTCTAAAATCATGCGTAGGATGCACTGCCGAGATTCGATCTGCTTGAACATCTTTTAAAGATAACGTTTTTGAATGAGGAAAGTTGCATAATTAGCATTAATTGTGCAGCTAATGTACGACAATTATTTGATCTCTGTTATGCTGCTTAGAGAGAGTGCTCTTTTGAATGGAGAGCAATGAGTTGGTGACTCTGTATCCAACAATAAGCCACAAATCCAGAAAATTCCTATTGTGGATAGGCTATTCAGTCTTGCTTAGCTCCTTGGACCAGTGGGAGTGGCTAAACAAACCAGGTTAGTATGCTTTCCAAGCTAGAGCTCCTGGCTTGTTGACCCCTTTTATAAGGTAGAATTGCAAACCAGGATTTGTTCTTGGTGGGAGATTCCTGGTTGGTTTGGGAGAAACAAGCCAGGATAACACTAGATAATGCAGTCTGTTTGGCTGTTCCTACAGATTGGAGAAGCCAGGTGAGCTGAATGCACGCATGTGTAAAGCATGCAGCATGTTCGTGGGAAACCAGGATTCTCCATGTTTTGGCTTACCTTTGTATTGAAAATAACCCTTACATCAACTGCGTATGCAGCTTATAACCATAATTCACATACTGGGGGATTGTTGCAGGAAATGCAAACATATTTTTTTTAAAAATTACAAGCCTCCAGAACATGTTATGCCGGTCCTTGGGGTGGGAGAAATATGCATGTAAATAGGGGAATAGGCCCTGAAGGGGTTGTCACAATCAGCTATTCTTCTGCATCTTGGACAACTCTGGTCTTCCCCCCTGCCTTTTAGGCTGGAAATACAGAGGAGGCCCATGAGCCTCGGGTGTTGCCTATAAGGTAACTAGTGTCTCAAAATGCCACCTTACTGGATGATGAGAAATGTAGTCCAAACCGTTTTTGTCCTGGAGCTTTTTTACATGGCAGAATGCAGACCCCGACAGGAAAGAGAGCTTCTCTCTCATGGCAAGTGTCTGCACTTCGTGGTATCTTGCCAAGAGATGATGGGCTGCAATCACATTCGTACGTTCATTTTATTTTACAAATGTGGAGGGTGAGAGGAAAGTTTTGGGGTAATTATCTTGATAACTTGATAACATGATGGTATGAGGGCTTCCCCCTCCAAAAACCTTGCAACATCTGAACGTGATTTTCTGCCAAAGCAGTATTACTATGGACTTTAGCCAGGGCAGATATGTGATAGCCCCATAATTATGGCTGACACTAAATTTATGTGTTTCCAAGAATAACAGATAAAAACGCAGCCTTATGTATGACAGAAGACCTAAATACTAAGAATAGGGTTTTAGGATTGCTTTATCTATGCTACGTTGTTTAGGGTGGTTGTTATTTTTGCAAGCAGCAAAATGAACCCCTTTGCATAGCGCATTTTGTACATAGGTAAGGGAGCTATTTATTCCATTTTTTAAAAATGGAATGTTAGTTTTTAAGTGACAGATCTTTATATATTTATTTTTGTTCATGGAGATTGACAGCTGTTCAGTCCAAGTAAAGCCAGGAGAGCCTTTCCAGATCAGCACACAGAACTCTCACGTTGTGCCTGCCTTAGTTCAAGCATGCCAAATGCTTATGTGGTTGAAATGCTTTAATTCCGAATGTTCTATGTTTCACAATAGTATACACAAATGGAAAGTCGTAGAAACCATTACAAAAACAAGGTCACTCCAGATGTTTTGGACAACTCTCACTGACCCTCAACCACAGACATGTTGGCTGGATTTGATGGGCACTGTAGTCCAGAAGCTTGGAGGGATTCAGGTTTGTGGAAGGATAGTCAGTCTTTGGTGAAGGCGATTTACCAGCATGATTAACCTCCCTGGATTATTTTGGGATGAATCCAGATCTAGGTACGTGCAGCTGGGCAGATGGAGGATTCTCTTACCCTCCCTCCTGGCCATGGAAGCCTCTGCAACCCCCTGGACACGCTGGATGGCTTGTGCAAGGGTGCGACGCCGGGAGGACGTGGCTCCTGGAGACGGGAGCAGAATTCTTCCATCAACAAATGGCACATCCTGGATCCAACCCAGTCTTCGGAAGCATTGGCTTTTCAACCAGGGACCCTTGATACAATCGCCACCAAGTTATTCCCCATGAGTGGTTGGTTAGCGCTTTTATTCATGCCTTTGATACGAAGGTGCCCTTCCGCTTACATCTTGCAGTAAGCTGGAAAGATGATTTGATAGCGCAACCTTTTGTGCAAGCAAAAACATGAAAACTGCCGTATAAACTACCCTATTAGCACTGGCTGAATTTGCAAGCATTTGCAGAACAGCCCTAGTGGCTATTTTCCTTCCGCTCATGGTTCTTGGCCCCAGCCATCACATCTGGATCCAGCACAATGTTTCCATCACAGCCGCTCTCGCCGCTGAAGAGCCAAGCCATCCATCTGTGTGTGCAGCTTCCTTAAATCACAGCCTGAATGTTTTTGTTTTTCCTCTTCCAAAATCATCTTTTGTCTCCACCAGGCTTGGAAATTAGTTTTATATAGCAAAGGGATGGGATGGTGGGGGGGAGAATTTCACTGTTTTCATAGTAGCCTTGTGAAGATGGCTGTGTGATCAGTCTGCTCCTTCATGTTCTGAGTTTTGCTCATAAAAAAATAGCATGCACAGGACAGCACATGATGCTCCATGCTTAGGTACAACCAAATGCATGTGGAAGTAGCAAAGGTTGTGATGGAGGAAAGATAAATGGTTGCTGTTAAAGACCAAATGCACATTTAGAGTAATCGGAGACAGGGCCCATAAATGCACAGAATAGGTATAAAAGTTTTCTGGGAGGGTGCTTCCCTAGGGTTATTAATGGAAGGGGCTGTGCAGCTATTTTGTCTTTTTTTTTTTTTTTTACCTCCATGGACTTTCTGCAGTAAGAGAGAAGATGGAAGAAGCAGTGGGTACAGTTGCAACTGGAAGACGACATCTTCTGGATCGTGCCCAGGTCCTTGTAAAATTCTATAAAAGCCTGGGTGAGGATGCTATCATGTAGAATCATGCAGTATCTCAAAAACAAGTTCCAAACCTCAACAATTAACTACTTGTATTTTTCAAGGGGTGGAGGAAAGTTACTAGCCCTAGGATGGCAAGGACAGGTCCTGAGCTGCTTGAAATAATGGTGTATCTCACCTTTGTAGTGGGCTTTTTCTTGCCCAGATTCAACACACCCCCCCACACGTCCAGCAGAGCCGTTTCTAAAGCCTATAAGTGGGAGCAACAGATAGTCTGCGAGAACATTGTTCTCCAGCTACATTTTTGCTCTTGTTTTCCCTAATGAGGCCAGCAGCCTTCTCCAGGCGTCCTCCAGCTCCACACCCTTCTCCAGGTGGCTTAGATTACAACACACCAGTGTAGGCAAACGAAGGGCCCTCGGCCCTGCCTCTAGCAAGGAAGCAGACCAAGCCATTGACCAAAAGAGCACATTCCCCGCATGGTCACACCCAGCTTTTTCTCTTCACCACAATCAGGTACGTTCCCTTATTTGTCTCTCCGTATCTGCAGAAAGAGTAATTGCATGGCTCCACGGGGAATTGGGCAGGATGCATTCAGCCAGTGGTCCTGTATTTGCACCAAAAATTAAGGATGTGACCTTTTGCATGTTAAGAGGGGGAAAAGTCCTAAAATTCCGAGCATGGCTTGCTGGTGGAATCCTGGGAGACCATGGGCCTTTTCCCTGCCTAAATATGCATAGACTTGCACCCTGTGTTTGTTATGTGTATTTCTGTTCCGTTTCCTTCGAATGGGAGTTTCAGAAAAACCTCAGGAGTAGATCAGAAGTCGTGAAAGTACTTTTTGGCATTATGTTCAACTATTATGACACTTTTGGATCCAATTTTCCATTCAAGCTCACTATCTCTGTAAGCCAAGGAAAATTTCAGTATGTGAAGAAGGTAGTGAATGCTGATTCAGTGGTCAGAGGAAGATGGAAAATAATGGCTCTTTGGACATAAATGCAGGATTATTTTTTATAGCTCTGCTCTGCTAAGCGCTTACAGATTTTTTTCTGTTTTATATTTTGTGATAAGGTATTTCCGGTGCCTTTATATTTTTGTATCTATAAATATGTTATCCCCACTGTCTCCTCTTCAGTATTCTCTTTCTGTTCAACTAATATAAAATAATTTAAGGATTTAAAAAAAATGCTAAAAAATCCCTTCCTTTCTCATTATATATATATATCTATATCATAATAAAAAGATGGAATATCCTCAAGTGTCTTTATCTCTGATGTCCTTTTCCAAGCATAATCCTGTAATATCTTCAACCACATTTTATTGCTCCCCCCACCTTCATTCGTTAGCTCAGATGCTTTCTTATTTTTTTTAAATTATTTCTGTACTGCATCTGCAGCAAACTTACGATGCAGATGAAGTTAAGTCAATGCAAAAATCTTTGGCACCTCTTGAGGCTGGTGGGGTGGGAATATGGCAGCCCTGCTTCCCCCAAGCATTTTGCATTCCCACGGGGACGACACCAATTTGCATCTGTTACAAAGGAGATCAAGAACACGGCAGCCATGTTTCTCTGAGGCCTTAAGGTGTCCCGGGAGCATCACTAAAGAGGAGGAAATAAAGGCTTCACTCGAAAAGTGCGTTAGGTGGCACGTGCTGTTTTATAAACATGCAGTTTTGCAAAGAGACTGTAAACAGATCCGGCGGGGAGATGCATCGAGGTCCTATTGAAGTGCTTCTAGGCCTGCTAATTCTGCAACTTGTGTGACTCTCCTTTTTAACGATTATGCTAGTGCGGTGCAGCGGTTAGAACATTTGGACTAGGACTCGGGAAATCTGGTTTCTGGTCCCCACCATGCAGCTCACTGGGAGCCTGTGGGACAGTTGCAGTTCTTCTCAGCTTGGCCTTCCTCACAGGGTTGTTGTGAGGATAAAATGGCGAAGAGGGGGGGTTATGTAACCCTCCTTGGCTGACTTGCAGGAGAGAGAGTCAGGATATAAACACACTGAACTTGAGGCCTTCCAGGAGAGTAGAAAATGCTTCCCCTTCATGCTGCGGACATGCAAGCGTGTTTCTCTGAGGTAAATAGTTCCTGACACGGGGAGCTCAAAGAAACACAAAATAGCTCTGACTGGGCCTATCCCAGAATTTGCTAAGCTGCATTCCCACTGAGGATTTCAGAAACTTTATTCTCGTCTGGGTTGTCTTTTGTTTTTTAAAGTGCATCAATCAGTTATTCAAAGTATCACAACTCCTTCAAATACCTTATTTTAAAAACAAAATGGCAAGCTACAGAAATAATACGGTGGCGTTAGCTAAAGAAGCAATGGTAAAACATGCCCATTTTACCTCTATGAAGCTCCACTTAGGTTGCATAAACATACCTTTCCCCCTTTTCTTTTCTGAAGGATATCAGCTTAGAAAGGGCAGCAAAGGTAAAAAACATTGGTCAGCATCAAATTCAGATTTATTTTTCAACTTGTTGGTGTGTCTATGTAGCTTCATGCACATGCGTTTAATAGGACAGGACCTGTGTGCATATTTAGGATACTTTAGCCTTGCTAATGTGTATGGCTTAGAACACATATGCAAAAGCAGAGGAAATGTTTATTTTCGGGGCAAAAAAATACTTTATACCGGGTAATTGGAATTGTCTTTACTCAAGCACAACATTCAGCAAATTCAATAAGGCTTCGAAGATTTAATTGGCTTTAGTAGAAAAGCTTTGCCTGAATCAAGACGTCAAGAACATGATGGGAATATTGTTTTAAATCTTCCTAAGAGCCAGTGGGGTGGATGATTTAGATATCAAAGACGGAACAACCTCTGGCTCAAAACGCCATTTGGTGACATTGAGTCATAACATTCTTTCTTTCTAACCTACCTTACAGGGTTGTTGTGAGGTTATGATGGAGGGGGACGCATGTAAGTTATTTTGAGCTCCTTGAAGGAAGCTTGGAATAGAAAAAGGTAATAAATAGATTGCATGTGTATAAAGACTGAGTTCAGTATCATTTTAGAGTTCAGGCTTAACACTTCCACTGAACTGTACCTACGTTTGGCTGCTTTTGAAACCATTAGAAAGAAAATTAAAGCCCAAATAAAATTGGTCCAGGGCTAAAGAAATTCATTTCTGAATACTGGACTTCATCTTTAATCCTGACTTGTAAATATTAAATTCAGTTCTAATCTATGTGTTTTACATCTCTGCTTTTCACCTTACCTTCCTCACATAATTCCCTTATTAAAAACAAAACAACTAAAATATAGGACAACTAAGTTGAAAAGAAAGGTAACAAATAAACTGCTTTCATTAATCCACATTTTCGGGATACAATATCTATGTATTTCCAAACTTGCTGGAGAAGCTACAAAATCCAGTGTTTTGCTCAGAATGCCACAATTTTTGCTGGCTTCGTGGTATTACATACTCCTGTTTCATAGGAAATTCCCTGGTTGAGATAGTTTGGCTAGTAGTTTTCTTAGTACGGAAGGCAGCGTTCAATTTCTGACACTCCCCCCCCCCCCCAATCTGCCCTGGTGATGCTTATTCTTGGAGAAATGGATTGCAAATGGATTTTGGCCTCATGGACAGAAACGTTCCTGTGTAAAAAAGGCAAAATTCGGAAAGCGGGACCGTTCAGTTTTGCTGATGCGTTTTACTCTATTGCCTCTGTGTGAAGCAAAATCAGTTCTTACCGCTGTTCATACCTTTGCCTCTATTTCCTGGGAAATCTTCTGGGCTTATCTAGAGTGCCTTTCTGTTTGTTGAGGGTCTTGTCCTGACTTCAAAGCACTTATGATAGCCGGGTAGCCATCTTTCCGCTTTGTATCTTTTGGGATAGTACCCGAGCAATTTTTATTCTTTGTCAAGTATATGAGGAAGAGATAACGCCAGCTAAAGCGGAATGTTACGTGGTGTGAAGGGGGTCTTTGTGAACTATAATTTAACCAGTGCTGGCTGCAGGTCTTGGCAAGGTACCCTCCGTGGGCCCCTCGGTAAATCCACCTTCCCCGAGCTGCATTCACCTGCGGTGCTACTTCATCCTCTCCACCTGCTTGGTAAGGAGAGCCAGGGAAGGGGCATCTGGTCCAGGGACAGAGGCAGGAGAGGAAGAACAGCTTCCAACAGCATTTTGTGGGCATCTCTATGCCCAAGGAAGTTTACCCTTGAGACTGGTGCTGGGCTTAGGGTCCACCCTTGCAGATGTTGGGGAAACTTAGATAAATCCTGGCGCGAAAACATTGCTTATATGTGCCTTTGTGTTATAAAATCAAACCTGCACCTCTTTCTCACATGGCACAGCTTTCAAGCCAGGGGACTGTTGTGGCTTTAAGAAGATGGCATTATTAGCTAGACTGGGAAGCTGCTGGAGGGCTGGTACCTGTGCAGAGCTGAATTAATGGCACCCATTTGCTTCTGGATGTAAGTCGCACAGAGGCACGCCTGAGTGTAATTCTCAAACCAGACTTCCTAAAAGCTTCCTCCATCAGACACATTTGCATGTGTAAACAGGCTGACCCGAACTGTCAAGAACTTCCAAGACCACAATCAGTAATGTTTTCCATACTATTGTTAACAGTTTTTATGATCGGTGTAGAGCATTATATCATGCCTAAAGACATCAGGATACTTTTGTACTAAGATTATCTGTACTCGTGTATGTGACTAGCAGGTTACAAAAGTGTCTGTACATGGGCTGAGAGCTTGCAGTTGAGTTTGCCTCTGCCCGGTAATGCATTATCGTTAGTGACTGCAGGCAAACAAAAGTTTTAAATACATACATACATACATACATACATACATACATACATACATACCTGGGGCTCCAGACAACAAAGCAGCAGAGGTTCAAAGGTTTGATCTTTCCCATGAAGCCGAGTTTTTATTTCCTCCCCACAAATTGAAAACCGAGATTCTGTCACGGACCAGATTTGGCCCACCTAAGGACTGGTGCTCTTAGAATGTGTTGTTCTGGAATTCCGCATGCTCCCCAGTTGCATGCTGACTGGGAAAGATGGGGGTTTCTTTGCAGCATGTTGGTTGGGGAAGTCTATGTACAGCCACATGGTTTTTTTTTTAAATCAAGTATCTCCTGGCTGGATGTAGACATTAAACAGCAGCAACACGGCTATATTTAGGAAGGAGTCCAGACTCAATTATATCTCCAATTTAGAATTGATTTTTTCCATCCTCCTGCATACACATCCTTTCCTGAAAGATCTGAAACAATTTTCTTTAAACTTCATAAATGGCACCACATGTTACTAGATTAAATATCCCCATTGTTGTTCTATTGTAGCTTTGTGCAGGTTGCTGAATTTTAACCTTGAAAAGTGAAACACGGCCCTCTAATTGAATTACAACTTTGCGCCATGTTTTTATTAATGCAGGCAGAGTGTATGCCCTGGATTTTGAAACCTAGCAGGGTGGGGTGGAAAGAGGGAAGGGGGCAGCAGTCTGCATTTGAAATATGAGTGAGATCAAACGTGAGCTGACTTGGTGGTCTCTGCCTCCAGGTTAATGAATCAATGGCTTGGCTGAATGTGGGGATGCTGTGAGCATTGGGGGCCACAATCCAGAACATTCCACCTGAGGGACTGTGGAAGGACTTTTGAACTCTCCTGCATCCTCTTTGAGGATAGAGAAAGCTCATGTCGGAAGCCTTGCAGAGCTGTTTCCAGTCAGTGCCTGTCAACATTACGGGGATAGAAAGGCGAAGGTCTGACTCAGTACAAGCCAGCTTCTTTTCGTCAGTATTGTTATCTGTAATTAAAATATGCCCTATATCACTGGAGGCGAACCTATGGCACATGTGCCACAGCGGGCATGCAGAGCTGGCTCTGTCGGCACGCAAGCCAAATGGCCCCACCATCACCCCAGCAGCCGAGCATCGGATAATTTTGCACATAGAGGACTTGAGCATGCTCAGAAAGGAGAATTTCTGTCAGGTGATGACGTCACAAGCTGTGACACATTAGCCGCGACTTGTCTGAGCTTTCACATGGCCAATCAGTGGGTTTGGGGTTGCAGTATGGACCTTGGGTCTCTAAAAGGTTCACCATAAGTGGATTAGGGTGAGAAAAACGAGGTGCCCTGGCTTGATTTTGATGGTTGGAATGTGCTTAGAATGGGCAGAAAGGATGAGCTGTGCAGAAAAAGCTACCCTAGGAGGACTTTTTCAAAATCGCCCTCTTTTCAGTGGAACTTTCACCCTCTATTAGGGTTAGGGGTGTGCACCAGGGTAGGGTTAGGGTTA